GCAGTGCACTGAGCCAGGTTCATGAACAAAAGACAGATATACAACGCACAATCTTGGCTCTGTTTACAAGGCTGCTGGCCTGGCTGAAATACTCGGGCGTCAATGAAGGTCACCTGTCAACTTAGAGTAGTGCCTAAAGATTACTTCGTGCGGCTATAAACGACCGTTAAATGAAATGATGAATTTTTGAAAGATTTTGAAAACGGAAAAAATGATAGTCATGCCGGCCCAGCATCAACAACATTAAAAAATGCCCCGTCATGAAGTGGTTAAAGTGAATTTTACCCATAAAAGGTGAAGTAGGATCCTTGCTACCACTTAGGTGGAAATTTACAAGCTTAGCAGAATCTTGCGTTTAAGCACAGATCATTGGAAAAAGCCTCATTTGGGGTACGTGCAAGTGTACCAAATGCCACAACAGTGTCACTAGATCAATTATTCTTTATTGCTTTCTTTTGTGACTTAGGTGTGAAGTATAATGCTGAGTTTGAAAGCGAGGTCATCAAAGTGGAAGCTATAGACAGTGATGTTGGTGAATATGCTATTGTGGTATACAAAATTACAGAACAAAAATACACAAGCACAGGTAAGACATTGCACTGGTTAGACGTGTTGATTAGAACTTCAATTTATTGCAGGCTTCAGAAATTCTTTTGGTTTCAGTTGATCTAGTTGTAGTTAATTTACTTCAAAAACATTTCGAATTGGCAGTTTTTCTTCAAGCTGTGTTAGTCAAAAACTTCTTAAAATAAGTTGGTCTAAAGCTGTCTCAAAACTTTTTATTTGTTTGCCACAGCAACTTGAAAACAGATTTTGTAGACAATAAAAACATTTTACACATCTTGAGGGTTGTTCGGAGGCTCAAGTCAAAGTGGTACAAAAGGAAACAAAGCTTTAATCTTGTGTTATGTTAAAGAAATTGTGTTTTGTTCAATTCAGATGGGGTTGTACGAGAAGACAACGCCTTTGCCATCATTGAAAGAACAGGCTCTGTGATCACCAATAGGGTCTTTGAAAAAGGCGATGCTGGGTACTTCACTATCAGGGTAGAGGCTAGTGACAGCAAAAACGATGCATTCAAAGACGAAGCAACAGTTTCGGTAATGACCAGGCTAGGGAAAGTTTATTCAAATCTTAATTTTATCTCTAGTGTCTACTACATACTCCACTGTATTTTATTATTTGAGATGCCTCACTCCAGTCAATGAATGTTAGCTTCCCAACAATCATTCTGTAACATTAGGCCTGATGGATTATTAGATGAGAGTTTTAGCCAAAACATGAGGTCAAGCTAGCATTTAGAAAATGGACTTTATTGTCACACCTTACCTTTTATTAAGGTATGAAGATGATGATTTGTGGTTACAGCAATGTAGCATTTATTTCTTCTTGGAAGAAGTATGGATCTGGAAAGATATGTCCTATGTTGTTATACCTGCAAACTAACATCTACCTCGGTATCACTCCACGCAAAGTCTCCAATCCTAATCTTTTGTTGTTTTTTTGCATCCATTGCCGAACCCAGATCAGATTGACTGAATAAGGAAGATTTATGGTAGTAACAGTTGTTTATATTTAGAAAGAAGAAAATCATGTGACTTCACTTTCATTTGATTCCCTGTCCTGTCAGATCTACATCTACAGTGAAGAACAACAAGTTGAAATGACAATCTTCAAATCCACTGATGAGGTCCGAGGGTACGAAGAAAGATTTAAAGAGTAAGTGCATTGTATTTGCATAAACCTAAGTTACATTTAATACCAGGAGTTGTTGGTGAACAAATTGTCCAAAGGATAATAAAACCAACCAGCTCTCTTTAAAACCATGGACTGACCACCATCTTATTGGTGATGACCAGATAACAGACTGAATGAGTAATCAACAGACTGATGACCAGCTACTTGCTAACTAATGAGTCAACCACAGTAGACACATGCTGATGTCTGAATTAAAGAAAAATCAGCCAGCCAGTAGCTCACAATTGCTTATAACATTAGCAATTTATGGTGGATTGCGAGAGATAGAGTTGCCTCCAAGAGACAGTAAAAACCAGCTCACAATGGATCTGTTGGCTTTAAGTGAGCAATATAAAAATCTAGGACTGTCTACATCTTGCAAAATGTAACAAAAGCAAAGATGCCTTCAAATTGATGTAGGTATTTCATATTCCTGTGAATGTAAACGAATGAAAAACTGTTATACGACAGACTGTAGTATTTACCACTGGGCACTACAGGGAACATAAATATATCTAACCCTGTGCTAAATCACCCATGTGCCCATCTGGCCCCTCACTAGTAACTAAGAGAAGCTTGGTTAATAATCAAATGCCATTTACACTGCTGGGCATTCATCAGCCAAACATTTGTTACCACAATCCTTAAATCATTACTCCCTGTTGTCATTTCTTTGACAGTGTCATTGAGGAAATCATCTTGAAGTATGGTGTCCTTAATTCCAATCCTTCAGTCAAGAGGGCAACCAGTGCCATCACTCCCGCTGTTGTCATTGATGATATCCAAATCTTGGTGGTTGATGATGCGCCTAAGCCAGGATGGTTTGTTATTCTGATTGCAGTTCCTACATGCAATACAAGAAGATTTAGCTCTAGAACCATCAATTTAAAATCTCTCTTTCTGCATGCTGTCTGTATGGTGAAAACAGCCCTCATTGAACTCTTTTCAGATCTAAACAGGTGACCTCGCTTTCCTGTTTTCCTGTGAAACACTGTAACACATGAAACCACTGAACTGAAAATTTTAAACAGCGACAGAATTGGTGAATACAAGTTCTGAGAAATCTAATTGATGTTGGTTCCCAAAATTGAATGGACAATTTCTGTATTCAGTGCTAATGGAGAATCATACTTTGAAGAATATGCATGGACCAGAAACTGAAATCTTTGTTGCTTCAGCTAGGCATCCTGTGGAGATTCAATCAACTACATTTGTTTTTCTTTAGGAGCATCATGAGATTCCATGTCACCAACAAAGCAGATAACACCATCATAGCACCAAGTGTCATTGTAAAGTAAGTAAACAAGTGCCCTCTCTGGACAAAACAAAAACATGGTCTTAAGAATTACTTCTGATTGACAAAGACGTTAGGCAATAAATATCTCTCTAAATATAGACTGGTGCTGATGTAAAAGTAATATACATGTACTTAATGTGCTGTCTCATTCACCTGGTTATCTTGTATTAGAAGGAGCATAACCATGTATCACGCAGATTGACAACCTTATAAATGTCAGCATTGGATTTTGCAAACACATTTTGCACTTATATTGTAGGCTTTCTGAAATTTCAAAAGCATATGTGGTTTGACAAGTTGTGAACTTTTTTTCAGAGGAGTTTTAAAAATGTAAGTCTGTGGTCTTCAGAACTGCTTCAAGCAATACTGAACATATTTTACAAGTTTCTGATGAGAAGCTTGTTTTCCTGGTTGACGTTTTATGTTTTCCTGTCTGTTTGGATCTAGAGCCATAGATGATGCATATGACTACACGGAGATTATTCGCACTGAATTTGGCGTGGAGGATGTAGTAGTAAGTAAAAAGAACTCCCCGTTTATTGAAAATTTCAAAATGATTGATATATATAGTGATTGCACAAACAGTGGAATGGACCAATCACTTTGTTATTGGGAGATTAATTCAAGGACAGTCAATGGGATAAAATTTTGAGGACATAGTAAAAAAGGATGTATTATGGAAATTCAACAGAACATTTCAAGTGAATTTCCTGTGCATGAACTGGCTTAAGAAATTCCCCAGTTTTGGAAGAGGCAAGACTGGTAAACTTTAATACCTGAATGGACTCTAATGTAATAACTTAGCAACCAACATAATAGTGGTTGGTTTTGTAATAGCTGCTGTTACTAGCCTTACTTTCAGTCTTCTTAACAAGTCAATGCACAAAGCGGAGTAGCCACTTTGATCTAGGAATAAAGTCCTATACAGATTGCACCCACTTTCATTACTGGTAAGCGGAGTAGCCACTTTGATCCTGGAATAAAGTCCTATACAGATGGCACCCACTTTCATTACTGGTTTGATTGTTGATTGGATAGTTGATTGACTAGCTTTGCTGACGTGTATGTCCTGATAGATTGCAATTCCTCCCACTGAGCCGCCACCAGACTTGACTTGGATCCAGTGGCTGCTGGTTGGTATCCTGTGTGCTGTTGTGGTGTTTGCTGTTGGACTTGTGGCTACCATCTGTATCATGCGCTCTGGGTAAGGATGTTTCAAAGATACCTCAAGGTAACTGGAGAGGTTGATCTGTAGCCCCACCAACTATTTTGTCCTGTCTTGTGCCAAAACTTGCCAGTGACATAACTTTTCAATTGCTAGCAGGTGGGTTACTCATGCAAGAAGTAGTAGGAAATGGGGATTCTGGATCAGCTCACCCCTCTCCGAGACTTCCCCCTACCTAGGGACTTTCCAGAATCCCCTGTTCCCTACTAAAGAATAAAACCTCAAATTAAGGCTGGAAATGTCTCAAAAGTCTAAACAATGATATAAGCATCATTGACCAGGTATAACGGTACAGCTTGACAATATGTAAAACCAGCAACTCTGATTTTTATTGACTTCCATGATTGCTGACGGGCTACCTTTCATTCCATAAAAAGTATTAATTAAAAAAACCTGCTTGACTGGTGCCCTTCGCATCATGTCATCTGATTGGCTAGTTATAAACACTATCCCACCCAGTTAACCACCAGGGCCCAATTTCACAGCGCTGCTTAACAGTAAGCAGAAAAGTCATGCTAACTTCAGCAGAAAAATGTGCTAACCTTAAGTACTGTTTCATGGCGGTGCTTGGCAAGGTTTAATGATAACAGTTGAGATTTCGATTGCTACATCACTAAGTGTAAGCAAATCTTTCCTCCAAGGTTAACATGCCTTTGGCTGTGCTTACTGCTTACAGTCTCCATGAAATACGCGGAGCCTCTGTAAGTGTGTAATCGGATGCTAAGCAGTGCTGTGAAATTGGGCCCAGGCAGGGAAGGGTACCAGCTAATAAGCGAGCTGATTGGCTACACTTTGCTAAATCTGCGCTCAAAGGTAGCCAGCTCATCGGCCAGTTGGTAGCTCCACATTTGATCGACCAGTTAGTTTGTATATTCCTCGCCCAGTATTTTCATCAAGCCCATCCTTATGAGATAACTGATCTTATGAATTTTTCCATCATAGCTACAGGAGAAAGCTTCGTGCAGCAACAGCAGGCACCTATGAGCGGATTATTCCTTCCTCCAATGCAAACCATGCACCCAACACCAACCAGTTTACAGAGCCTGGGTAAGTCACTCCGTCAAACACGAAACAGATCCAGTCATGAATATATCTGCTGTATTTTTCTTCTTTCTGTACTTATGTACACATATATTTCATCACTCACACCATGAAGTGATTGACAGAATTATTGTTGCATGCAGCGAAATAACGAATTAAATATTTGAAATAACGAATTATTCATCAGAAATAACGAATTACTAATTCGAAATAATGAATTACGCATCCGATATAACGAATTACTAATTTGAAATAACGAAATACACATCCGAAATAACAAATTACTAATTCGAAGTAACAAAGTACTAATCCGAAATAACAAATTACGCATCCGAAATAATGAAGTACTCATCTAAAATAACAAATTAATCATCCGAAAAAACGAATTACTCATCTGAAATAACAAATTACTAATTCAAAATAACGAATTACTAATCCATAATAACAAATTACTAATCCGAAATAATGAATTACCCATCCGAAACAACAAATTACTCATCCAAAATAACGAATTACTCATCCGAAATAACAAATTAATAATCCGAAATAACAAAATACTAATCCGAAATAAAAAATTACTAATCCGAAATAACGAATTACTAATCCATAATAAGGAATTACTAATCAGTAATAATGAAGTACTATTCAGGAATAACAAATTACCAATCCTAAATAATGAATTACTAATCCCAAATAACGAATTACTAATCCCAAATAATGAATTACTACTCCAAATTACGAATTACTGTTTGAAATAACAATGTACTTATCCGAAATAACAAATTACTCATCCGAATTAACGAATTACTAATCTGAAATAACAAATTACTAATCAGAAATAATGAATTACCCATCCGAAATAACGAATTATTCATCCGAAATAACAAATTCCTAATTCGAAATAACGAATTAATAATCCGAAATAATGAATTACTAAATTTAAATAAATTATTACTTATCAGAAATAACGAATTACTAATTCGAAATAACGATTTATTAATCCGTAATAACGAATTACTAATCAGTAATAATGAATTACTATTCAGTAATAACAAATTTCTAATCCCGATGAATTACTAATCCAAAATAACAAATTATTATTTGAAATAACGAAGTACTAATCCAAAATAACGAATTACTTATTTGAAATAACAAATTAATCATCCGAAATAACGAATTACCCCTCCGAAATAACAAATTACTCATCCGAAATAACGAATTACTAATTCGAAATAACGAATTACTAATTCAAAATAACGAATTACTAATCCGTAATAACGAATTACTAATCAGTAATAATGAATTCCTATTCAGTAATAACATATTACTAATCCCGATGAATTACTAATCCCAAATAATGAATTACTAATCCCAAATAATGAATTACTAATCCCGAATAACAAATTACCATTTGAAATAACAAAGTACTCATCCAAAATAACGAATTACTTATTCGAAATAACGAATGAATCATCTGAAATAACGAATTACCCTCTGAAATAACAAATTACTAATCCAAAATACCAAATTACTCATCTGAAATAACAAATTACTTATCCAAAACAACGAATTAATCATCCGAAATGACGAATTACCTCTCCGAAATAACAAATTAATCATCCGAAATAACGAATTACTAATCCGTAATAACGAATTACTAATCAGTAATAATGAATTCCTATTCAGTAATAACATATTACTAATCCCAAATAACAAATTACCCTCTGAAATAACAAATTACTAATCCAAAATAACAAATTACTCATCTGAAATAACGAATTACTTATCCAAAATAACGAATTACTAATCTGAAATAACGAATTACTCATTCGAAATAACGAATTACTAATCCGAAATAACAAATTACTAATCCGAAATAACAAATTACTAATCCGTTATAACAAATTACTAATCAGTAATAATGAATTACTATTCAGTAATAACAAATTTCTAATCCCGATGAATTACTAATCCCAAAAAATGAATTACTAATCCAAAATAACAAATTATTATTTGAAATAACAAAGTACTAATCCGAAATAACAAATTACTTATTCAAAATAACAAATTAATCATCCGAAATAACGAATTAAACCTCCGAAATAACAAATTAATCATCCGAAATAACGAATTACTAATTCAAAGTAACGAATTACTAATTCAAAATAACAAATTACTAATCTGAAATAACGAATTACTCATTCGAAATAACGAATTACTAATCCGAAATAACAAATTACTAATCCGAAAAAACAAATTACTAATCCATTATAACGAATTACTAATCAGTAATAATGAATTACTATTCTGTAATAACGAATTCCTAATCCCAAATAACGAATTACTTATCCCAAATAAGGAAATTACTCATCCCAAATAAGGAATTACTAGTCCAAAATAACGAATTACAATTTGAAAAAAAGAATAACTAATCCGAAATAACGAATTACTTATTCAAAATAATGAATTACTAATCCCAAATAACCAATTACTTATCCCAAATAACGAATAACTAATTTGAAATAACAAATTATTAATTCGAAATAACGAAGTACTAATCCGAAAAAATAAATGCCTGATACCAAATAACGAATCACTAATCTCAAATAATGAATTACTAATCCCAAATAACAAATTACTTATCCCAAATTATGGATTGCTAATCCCAAATAACGAATTACTAATCCCAAATAACGAATCAATAATCTCAAATAACAAACTACTAATCCCTAATAACGAATCCGAAATAATGAATTACTAATTCGAAATAACAAATTACTAATCCAAAATAACAAATTACTTATCCCAAATATCAAATTACTAATCCCAAATAACAAATTACTAATAGAAAATAACAAATTACTTATCCGAAGTAACAAATTAATAATTTGAAATAATGAATTGCTAATTTTAAAGAACGAATTGCGAATTCGAAAGAACAAATTACTTGAGCCTCCAGATGGCACTGTTTTGCATGGATTCTCATGTGATTCAAGGCATTCATGCTTCATATGTCAAAGGGTGCACCCCTAAAATTAAATTTACATAGACATCAATGATAAATCCATTTATTTTAAAATTATTTTTAAAATACAACTCTCATAGGTGTCCAAGCTGGACAGCAAAATGATTTTCGACATGTCGTCTTTCAATTTCCTTTGAATTATTAGTGGGTTGACGGATGAATTTTTGAGAAATTCCCACCCACAGCAGACCCCCCTAAACTGAAGGAAATTTCACTACCCATAAAAGTAGCCATTTTGAAAATGCATCCCTCTGCAATGTGCCTAAATATTGCCACTTTCAGACCAGATTGCATCCATATTGCTCAGAATTGGAAGCCCTGAATCCGGGCCAGAGGTTCAGTGCCATATTTCTTCAATTCCCCAATTCCACAGCTCTCAGGATAGAATATTTCAGGTGTATAACTTTTATCAGTGAGCGTGGCGGACATGTTTCTGGCCTACTTGCATGGGTGCAGCCCTAATTGCATATATATCTCTGATTTCCATGGCCATGGGTGCCTAGCTCCTGACACATCTCTGTTTGATGTGGAGAAATAATTTACAGTATTCCTTTCAAACAAAAACATTTTTTTTCTGCAGGTCCAATCCACTGTTTAACAAAAAGCTTAGTGATGAGTTTGAGAACAGATATGTAGAGACCCCAGAGGATGCTGAAGAAGCAGCGGAAGACAAGAAGAAAGAAAAGATGAGGTAAAAGTTTGGAAATATATGCCTTGATGACGGGGGCAATATGATGTATACATGTAGGCACCATTGCGAGGGGAATATGCACAGGGGTTGGCACTATTAAATATGGAGTGTACATGTAGAAGGGAATAAAATCACAGAGCAGTATCAGATTACATGGGATTGTGGAGAAGTTTTATTTGTACAACTGCAAGATTATACTCCAGGCAAAGGATATTCAAGGATTTTTATGTAATGATACTTTTGACTAACCAAATGTTGTCGAGTATTTATGACTTTTTTTGGTCCTTATGCAGCAATGGACATGCCAAGCAGATAGCTGATGATTCCATTTCCAACAGCGAGGACCAGGAAATAGTTGTGGATATGTTTGATGACTCTGCCGACTATGAGGAGGTTCCAGACAATGAAACAGGTGACAAGCTTCTCATGGAGGTACTCGCCGACTACGATAAGGAAAAAAAAGGCCAAGTCAATCTGGCAGGGTTTGCTGAGCTGACAATCACAGAAATCTAAGAGAGTAAGTATTGCAGAATGAAACCAGTCACAAGCAATAAATATAACCTCAGACATTTCAGCGTATGAGTTTAGACTAAACAAACGTTTTTCTCTTTCTACACTGGAAGATATTGCTGATGTAATATTTTTAATGACAGGCCTCTGATTACCAGTCTAGCTGCATTGCTATTTTATCAGATGTTTTGAATAACACGCATGAGGTGCCTGTAAACTGTATTGACATGTTTTTACTTTTAGGAAACTTAATCCCTGAGTTTTTCACCAGAAGATATTGACTATTTTTGAGTCTTTAATTTTTAAGGTACTACTAATGTGATTTTTCAGGCAACACTTTGAATATTCCATTTGATTGTAGCTGAAAACTTTAATGCAAAACCTGTTTGAAAGAATTTAATCTGAGACTTGCAGAAGGTAATTATTATTTCAGTTAATATGACAAGACTGTCAAAGGAACAGCCATTTATTGCTTCTGTCACCCAAAATATGTGATGGAAAACAGTAGGGTACACAGCTAGCAGTGTAGAATATAAGGTGCCAAGTAATATTTGTGTACTCTATTGCTTTACGTGCATGCACATGCACTTACTGTTACTTTATAAATACTCAGAGTGTATCTTTGTAAAAGACATAAGAAAATTCTAGACACAGGTAGAGTTGTTGCAATTTAAAGGCACAATCAGCATTAAAGTTACTGCTCATTACAAATTAATGATTTGTATACATGAAGTCTGGTAGATCTTCCTTCAAATATTTCGATTGTGAATAGGATTCAAAGTAATCAAAGTATGAAATTAAAAGGTTACAAGCAGCAAACTATCAGAAAATCCCATGAGAATCTATTGCATATCCTAGCCCACAGAAAGCCATATTATGCCATATAGCATTATGATTCTATGCTACAGAAATGTATAGCACCATAGATTTCCGTGGCATTTAGATCCCACAGCTATGGTGCAAACGTGTACAGAACACACCAATTGTGCCTTCTAATCCAATCACTGTAGTATTACTAAATGTCTTGGAAAATACTTATGAAACAATTTTAGTCAAGGATATTATTTAAAGTGCAGTTGCATACGTTTCTGGTAACAGGTTTTGAGGCTTACATGTATATTATGAAAATCCATTTTCGTGTATATACATATTTTAAGCAATGCCAGCTTTTTTTTAAAAGTGCATGTATTTGAAAGTGCCATATTGATACCTACCGAATGTGAACGTCAGTGTGCATGTATTACCTTTGTTTAAAACATTTGTTGTGGATGACTTCATCAGACATACATGTATTTGAAAAGAGCAATTATATTTGCTTTGAACATGTTATAGATGCATAAAAATTATGAAGTGTAAAAGATTTACATATGCAGCATGGAATTGGAATAGTAGTGTTCACATGCACAGGTCTTGGCAAATAACTATGTTTGGAAGATTATCTTTAACTTTCTTTACGTTGTTGTTCTTTATAACAGTTTTGTATTACCAAAGTAATCCAGCTAAAGCAGCTTTAAATCACTAAATAACATGATTCCTGAAGGCTTTTATTGGATTCTTACAGAGTATGTTCCAAAATTAATTTAATGCAGGATTTTGATTTATGCAGCGCAACAAAACATGTACTCAGTGTGTTTGAAACTTTATTTTGGTAGAAAATATGCAAAATTTTTAACAGAAAGTTAAACTGTTTAGTTCCATGACTTAAAGTTGATGCAAAAAATCTTGCAGATATATTTGACTGAATGTCAAACGTGGGGATTATGTGGTAAAAACCTAGATACCAAACAAATTTGGAACCAGGTCAATGCCTAACCTGCCTAAAACAGAGCAGTAATTTGTTGAGTTTTCTTTTGGCTTTGGTATACAAATATTTTAAGGGGTATGCCACTGCCTTTCTTTTTTGTGTTGTTGGTAAGGAATTAATACAGTCAGTAGCGCATGAAATAACGATGTTGTGTTTACTCACCAATTTGAGTTTAACAAGTTGGACTTTATCCCACAAGGACATTCATGCAATTGGTTGTGAACATTGTTTAATCCTCAAATTTAAGGCAGTTCCATTGAAATAATTGAATCTTGAGTATAAAGACACTGCTGATGATTTTAGGTTTACTGGAGCCGTGCGTTGATACAGGTTCTGATATTGGCTCACATGTTATTCTTGTAAGATCCGGCTTAACACTTTCAGGTGTGGAAATAATTATTACCATTGATGTAACTGTTATATATCTATAAAGCAAAAACATTGAGAAATTCATTACTGTACAAAAAATTGGACTTTGCACGGTTGGACATTCCACGAGTATTCAGGATTGCAAAGTTCAACTCTTTGTGAGATGGCCGAGTGCCAGTGGTGTAGCCAAGATGAACTAGATTATTTCATTCTTTCTTCATTCAAGAAATTAAATTGAAATAACCTGAATAAATAATTACTTTTTTCCTCTCTGCATATATCATGAATATATCATAAATATCCTCCATATTTCATCATCACAGAGGCTGTAGCAAAAGAAACATTTGTACTTTACCAGCAACTGTTTCGATTGGGATTTTCCTTGAATAAAAGGGGCCATAATGTTTCGGTTTTTTGTGCCTAGTAGTTAGAGAGTCTATCCCCCGTTGAGGGCGTCAATATGCAATTTTTGAAAAAGAAGCTCAAACAGATCAATAGAGGGCGCTATTTATTTCTTTGATATCTAAAAAAAGCCTTCCAAAAAACTAGTTACAACTCATCAACAGAGGGCGGAAAACTTGTGTATATTTTATGTTTAGATTCCAGCCTCGTTATCAACATGTTGCTTATGGTGCGAGCAGAAATGAAAACGAGGCTGCAAGCTCTATTGTATTCAATTCATAATGAAATATATAGCGCCCTCTACTGACGAATCAAATACGCGAGTGTTACAGTAATTCAAGCAAAACGAAAACGAGGCTTCAAGCTGGGGTCTTTATATAATGGGAGATTGCAGCCTCGTTTTCGTTTCCCCGATGAAATATATACCGCCCTCTATAAATTAAGTCTATTGATAAGAATACAGCCTTCCCATATAGTGTGAGCAAAACGAAAACGAGGCTGCAAGCTCCCATTGTATGTAATCGAAGGTTGCAGCCTCGTTTTCGTTTCAGCTCCGCAAGTATATAGCGCCCTCTATTGACGAGTTCAATTCAAGAACGTACTCGGCCTTGCTAATAACGGTATTGAGCAGTTAGAGCAGAAACGAAAACGAGGCTGCAAGCTTCCATTGTATATAATAGAAGGTTGCAGCCTCGTTTTCATTTCAGCTCCGCAAGTATATAGCGCCCTCTATTGACAAATATATGGGAGAACAAAGCCATGCTACATATTAAGCCGTGCGTGG